GGTCAGGCATTCCTGGCTGTCGTGCCAGAAATTGGGATTTGAACAGAAGACTCAGAGCTGAGAAGTTACAGATCCAGCTACAAAAGACTTGGTTTCCCCATTCTCTCTGCTGTGGCTTTGCAACTGAAAGGAGAGGCTGGAAAGGATTTCTCAGCTGTGCTGCCCTTTGCAGATGGACTTTTGATTAAATATTTAAATTATTACTGCAAACCAAAGGCAGAGCTGCAAACCAGAGAAGTGCTGTCCCTTGAACCAACAGGCTTTGAGGGCTTATTTTTGTAGCAGACTCCTATTGAAAGAGAGAAATAATAATAAAAACCCCAGGGACAAAATATTGAGAGCTGTAAGTTCTGCTCCTGAGCAGCTGAGTGTGAACATACCTGCAATGTCCCAGAGCTGCAGTCGAACCGTCTCCGATTCCGACCACTGGACCACCTTCAGAGCAAAATCCACTAGGGAATCACCCCAAAAAAGAAAGGAAACCTCATTAGTGTCTTGCAAAGCCCAGCCTGGCAGCTCTGCTGTTGAAGCCCTGGCCAACAGTGGCAGAGATGCTGCCTTGCAATTCTTTGGGAAGCAGCAGAGTGAGACGGAATTTCTCCAGGACACCCAGTGTTGGGTGGGCCCCACACCCTTCCAGGATTCTGGGATCCTGGAGCACCAGGATCTGCAGCCATCCCTTGCACAGCTCCCAGCTGGTGGCAGGGAGCTGGGACACCCATTCCTGATCCCTGGAACTGTAACACCAGCACTAGGGACACTAACCAGGCGCTGAGGAAGCAGAGATTAAAACGCTCAGGAGTCATTCCTCAGTTCCTGATGCATCAGGTTCCCAGTGCAGAGGGAAGACAGCCCAGCTGTGCTCCCACCCCTGCCCAGCAGGCCCGGAACTGACTGGAGACAGGAAGTAATTTTTTTTAAAAGGACAAAAAAAAAAAAAATAATAGAAAGAAGAAGAAGATCTGTGGCTCTGGGTTTGGGAGTGCCCGTGTGGGGCAGCCCGAGCCCCCTGCCCCGGCAGGATCAGCCTCTCCAGTGTTTTCAGTTTCTAATTCACCCCCTCGGTTCATGAATATGATTGAAGCAGCCGTGCTCGGCCCCCCCGGTTCTGGGTCCTCTGGAAGATTTACGGGCTGAAGCTTTGGCACCTCCTGCTCCTCACGGGTTACTCATTTACACCGATGTCAAACAAAAGAACAACTTCATCTCGTTCCCAGTCTCCTCCTCACAAAGCTGCTGTTCCCCCCGTCCCGGAGCCCCGTTTCCCAGCGCTGCCGACGTTCGGCAGCAGCTCCGAGCAGTGAAATGTCAGGAACAAGGAGGTTCCTGTTCCCCCGGGCAGAGCCGGGGCTGCGACCCGAGACCCTCCGGGTCAGGGCTCCTGGGGGGGCTGTTCCGGGGGGAAGCGGCTCGGGGGGACAGATGTCACCAGGGATCACCGCACACACCCCGGGGCCGCAAAACAGCGCTGGGAGATTTGCTCCTCTGTTTTTTCCCCCCCAAAATCCTCGCTGGCCGGTTTCCCCGGGGCGGGGG